ATTAGAGAAGAAGAGTCAAAGAGTACACACATTACGACACGTCGTTAGCTGAGATCTGACGAAACCCTGATCGATGTCGCTCGAAAATAATTAGCCTCTACCAACGCATTAGAGGAAGGCCACTCCTCACTCGCCGGTATATTTATATGAGTCATGGACGTAACTAATCAGTGCCTATCGCGGACACCCCCGGAAACATAGCGGAGGCACGGAGAAAACGGAGTAATAAAACTACTTGAATTTTTGCTGACATTTATGCTTCCTGAGAAATTGTTGTATTTATTTCACGTCCACATGTTGCTGAGAGAAGATAATCCAAAACACCCAGTCATCCTTCTGATGCAAGTTTCTTAAGTGCAGATATTTGTATTTCACTTGAAGTCAATATGCCTGCTACAATGATGGTCGGGTCTAAAATCCCCTGCTCTTAGTATGAAAAATAGACAGCTTAAGCAAATAGTTTTCTAAATCGTTTTGACAATTCCAAACGAATTACATAATCTGCTTTCACTGTATTATCTTTATTACCTTAAGTTCCTGTCCGAATGGGAAGAGTACCGTGGTCATTTAACGGGCTTTTAACCCATCTTTGTAATAGTATTTTTTCCATACCGCTGACAAATTACAATCAAACATAACGCATAGTTGTTCACTCTTTCTGAAATTTCAGAGTGTAAATTGCATTATGATACCATTTCAATTGACGATGGTTGGGGGATGCCACTGGTAGGCCCGGCTTCTTTTTTTCCCTCTTGTCTTAGTCCGTCTTTCTGTCTGTCTTGCTTTTCCCCTCAATGAAATGACTGTAATTGTTTCATGTTTCATGCTTCTCTGTACAAAAAGATGTCCTGTTTCACAAACTTTATCATATGATTTATATTTTCTCCTGCAGAAAAACCCACCTTCAGTATCCGCCCACCAAACTCAACCACGGCTTTCGAGGGCCAGCCCACCATGTTGCACTGCATGGCTGCAGGCGACCCCCGCCCACAAATTGTGTGGGACAAGGGAGGCAAAGTGATCGCCAGCACTGGCACGAAACCGGATTCTGACAGCAAAAATCGTTACACGGTAAGCAGAACTGTTTACGTCGGTTTTATTCATTTTGTTCATTTTGTGGAGGCAGAAGAGAACTTGAATAGAAGCGTGGCAAGAAAAGACCAGGATAGTGAAGGGTTATTCTTGTTGTTGTTGTTGTTGTTGTTGTTGTTGTTGTTGTTGTTGTTGTTGTTGTT